CCTCATTCATCTTTGTGGTCCTCAGTGAGCAGAATGTGAGGCATCCTCTACATGCTTCAGGTGGAAGGAACAGTGACTGGACCAACAGATGGCTGAAAAACTAAAAGCTACACAAACTACAACTCCTCAGGGCTTTAGGTGAAGACGTAGGAGTGTGAAAGGATACGAACACAGAAAATGTGTGGCTTCAATGACAATAGTCCCAAAGAGAGATAAGCCAACGGTGTCTCAGGGACCAAGGAAAAGCAATCAAATCCGAAATACACAAGAACAACAGAAATGAGGACACGAAAGGTTCCATTCTGCTCTTGGAAAATACTGATTTTAAAGAGGTTTGATAAGGTCTAGTGAATAAGCCACCTTCCTCGGAAAGAAATAATAGATATGAATATCCTCAGAAACGTTTAAAGCAGTAAACAAATGGAAAAAATATAGTTTGGGTTTCTAGATCTAGTTTCTGAGATTCTACCAAGCCAGGTCTCAGATCATATTTAAACTCAAGTAAAAGAGTAAGTTAAGGGGCTTCCCTGGTGGCGCAGTGGTTGACAGTCCGCCTGCCGATGCAGGCGATGCGAGTTCGTGCCCCGGTCCGGGAAGATCCCACATGCCGCGGAGCGGCTGGGCCCGTGAGCCATGGCCGCTGAGCCTGCGTGTCCAGAGCGTGTGCTCCGCAAAGGGAGAGGCCACAACAGTGAGAGGCCCGCGTACCACAAAATAAATAAATAAATAAATAAAATAAAAAAGTAAGTTAAAATATTTATTTGGAAATTATTTGGTAAATCAAGCTTTGTAGTCAATCAATTTGACCAATTAATTTGTATGGCTGTTTGAGGCAATACCAGAGGATTCTTTACCTTTGCTTTAGGCCCATTTATATAGCATGATATGACATAAACAGCTTTTAGTCAGTGGATTTAACAGAAAGTAAAAACGGAACGAAATGGCTGATTTTAGAAAGACTAATGAGATTCTGCCTAACATCATGCACAAGCCAAATTCTATGCTACATGGATAAAACAGGCCCTCCAGATGGAGAAAACATAAAGAAATGAATATTAACTAAGAAGCTGCTATTTCCCAAACATTATGCTAGGCGCTTTCCGAAATATGACTTCATTAAGAAATGCAGTTATGAGCTTGTTTCTCAATGCATATATTACAAATTAACTGAAAAGTTACTTAGCCAAGCATTTTAGTTCTCAAATTAGGCTGTGTTAAACAGGATCTTCTATGACAGAAAATAGTACTAATTTTGTTTTTCAGAAGCTATGTTTGAGTATCCACTCAAAGTGCTGAAACTAATAAGTGTGTTTTCCTTCGTGTTTTGTTCTGTCCAAGTGGTACGTAGAGAAAGGCTTTAGATATGCTACATCCGCAGCTCCAATTCATGCTAAATTCGATTCCTGTCAGGCCATCCTTTAGCAGAAACTTCAGGTAACAGCAAGAGGCTAGGCCGGTGTAAGGTATCCAAGGAGCTAAGATTCTGGGGCATCTAAATACTGCCCTGGTGATCTCATGGCACATGGCTGCTAAAAGCTGGTGGGGCAAATTCTCGACTCCGTCCGCGAAGCCTCTAAACCACTCCTTGGTCTCGTTCTACCTGCCACCACCTGTGCTATCCTGGGGAAGGCCAGGACACCACAGAGCCACTCGGTCCTGGAGGCCACCAAGGTTACCCTGAGCCTCACAGTGGGACTGTGAATTCACGCTGAGGTCCCAGCAGTGCACAGGGCTCTTGGTTAGGTAGCCATGGCAGCCCAAATGTCCATGACCGTCTACTTCAGCTTAAAATTTTTGGTTAACTTGAATTTTATGTTAACTTGAAACAAAAAAGAAATGTAACTGTCTGCCTTCTCAGCCCTTCCCAATTGTATGAGAAATGTAAGGAAAAATGTCTCTGGAGACAGATATCTGCAAGAAAAACAAAAGGATTCTTTGGCAAAGGGAAGGGAAAATGAGTTCTGTGATCTCGTTTCCGCATTCCTAAACAGGCAGCAGTGGGGTGAGGCCAAGGCATCGCTTTGAGAAGCTTCATCCCCAAACTGTAAGAGCTGACACCCCCCCAGGGCGAGCTGCACAGAGGCAGCGTTAACTCCCGTCAGGCCACACCCCAGCAGACGTGTAGCTAATGCTGGAGCTGCTCCTAACCTCCCAGTGCGTCATCCACGCCACGGTTATATGGCAGTTCACCAAGCAGATTTCCAAAATTCGCCCTCATTTCCTGAGCCAGGAAGAAGAAACCGTCCTAACCATTTTGCTGGGAAATTCACTTAGAGGATACAGAAACAAGTGGGTTCCTGAGAGAGGGGGCCGAGGTTCCAGCAAATAAGTCTATCTTGCCCCCAAATAACTTAACTCTGCTCCACCTGCTTCTTGTTCTTTGTCAAAAGAAAATAAATGCAAGCAGGGTCTGTGCAAACCAGGCTGTCACTAAAGGGACAATATGTTCAACTTTGGTAGTAAGGTGAACGTCAGAGGGAGTCCCAATGAACCACAGGGGAAATGGGGCCACGTTACATGAAAAACACGAATTTTTAAACTCTATGTCCACGCCGTTTGGGAGCTGAGCCCAGCAGGGAGGGTATCAGATTCACGTCTCCCCAGCATAGTTGTCTCAGCACACAGGCTCACCGGGCAGACTTGAGTGGAATGAGGTGTAGAAATGCTCACACCACTAATGAGTCTATCTCCTCTGCACGCTCACCATTTTGCTGACTCAGCTGAATCTAGTCAATTAAATTAAGCGACTGCACTCTTACAGACTAATTCAGTTCTAGAAGGTCAAGCTACCACGGTCTGCAGGCAGGCTGTTCAAACTGGCAGGGTTAGTTACGAGGCAATAAGGATCATAAAGAATTTCAGGCCCAGAGAGACTATTATACTTAGTGAAGTAAATCAGACAGAGAAAAACAAATACTCTATGTTATCACTCATATGTGGACTCTAAAAAAATAATACAGATGAATCTATATCCAAAAGAGAAACAGACCCACAGACACAGAAAACAAACTCATGGCTACCAAAGGGGAAAGGGGAGGTGGAGGGACAAATAGGAATTTAGGATTAACAGATACAAACTACTACACATCAAAAAGATTAGCAACAAGGATATACTGTACAGCACAGAGGATCATACTCACTATCTTGTAATAACCTACATTGGAATACAATCTGCAAAAAAAGTAACTGAATCACTCTGCTGTACATCTGAAACTGAAAAAAAAAAGAAAAAAAGAGTCAGGCCACACTTCCAAGCAAGACAGGCTTGTACTTTAGAAGGCCGAGGACCAGAGGAGAAAATAATGCTTCTCCTATATTCTATCCCATGATAGTGAATCCCATTCTGTTTGCTTTACACAGACCACAGCTGGTATGTTTGAGAGTCTGCCTGTTTTGTGTTGGAAAGGGAAGAGAATCAAGAGTCTGTAACATGTCAGAGACATATGCCAAGACAACAGGGAGGGAGGAGAGAACACAAGATACTTGTCCTCTTTATCCGGGGGACGTTGACAGAGTCTACCCACAAAAGAACTGAAAAAGAAACATTTCTGCCACAGAAAGCCAGGCATGCTCGTTAACGGTGGGGCAAGGCTTCTAGAGGGGGACTTCGGATAACGAAATAGGAAGAGTGAGAGGCCCTTTGCTTTCTGCTCACTCAGCCGTGTGCCCATGCGGGATGGAGATCAGAGAGCCCAGCCCCACTCAGCGAAGAGCGTCGCTGCTCACGGCTGTGTCTCAGGATCCATCTGACAGCTTGGCCTCCGCTCACGAAACCTGAATCATCTTCTTGGTTCCACACAAATGAGTCAAAGGCTAAAGGACAGGGCCCAGGCCCTCACCGTGAGACAAGCGCTGTTACTAGGCTCTATCAGTTGCTGAATTAGAAATGCACCAGGAACGGTGCAAAATAAGCATGTTGTCCAAAACATACGTCCACCGAGCATTTTGTGTGTATGAACTCACTCCACCCTGACAGCCCAACGAGGAAGGGACTATTTCCCGCCTCATTCTGCACGCCAGCAGACCTGAGGCCCAGAACCTAAGCCACACGGTAGGGAAATGGCAGGGTGAGGACGCGTGTCCTGCCTCTCTGGCTGAGGGCTCACTCGTATTGCTAGACCACCTTCCGAACAGAGAGGACCCGTCACTTGCTACCTACTAAGGGTAGGCCAGGCTCTCTTTTTACCTCTTCACATGAATGCCTCACAATCACCTCTGGAGGACACTGAGGCAGAGGGCTGAGCAGCAAAGCCCAAGGTCCACTACACTGCAAGTTCAGGAACTAGTGAGCACCCAGGAAGTGGCTTCTCCAGGATGTCAAGTGAGGCAGTCCAGCTCCACAGGCCCTGCTACTGACCTTGACACCACATGGCTGCTAGCATCTTGTGTCATCTGCACTACAACCACGGAGGGAGCTGTTCACACCCTCCTCCTCTGACAGAGCTGAGGCTCAGCAGGTGGTATGAGGCAGAGGCTGAGTTTGTCAGCAGTCAGTGTTCTTTTTTTTTTTGTGGTACGCGGGCCTCTCACTGTCGTGGCCTCTCCCGTTGCGGAGCACAGGCTCTGGACGCGCAGGCTCAGCGGCCATGGCTCACGGGCGCAGCCGCTCCGCGGCATGTGGGATCTTCCCAGACCGGGGCATGAACCCATGTCCCCTGCATTGGCAGGCGGACTCTCAACCACTGCGCCACCAGGGAAGCCCCCAGTCAGTGTTCTTGATCACGACACACAGATGATTCATCAGAGGGCCAGGCCCCCCAGGAACCGAGTGGAACCTTTTCCCACGGGCAGCTAAGTGCCCTCTGGGTTACTCCAAACATAAAGTGATGAATAACATCAAGGCCTCCTCCCATTACAGCCAAGTTTCTTCCAAGAAAAAAAGACTTCCCCCAAAGCATTCACCTGTTATTGCCCAAAGAATGACAAGGCACCCCAAAAATCTTAAACCCCACCCCCTTGCCCTCACCAGCCCCCAAGACAGTTAAACCCTTTGCACTTACGCTTTAAATGCTGGGAGGTAGGAGTATATAGAAACGCTGCTTAGGTTATAAATAAATGGCAGGTGTTTTCTGATATCTGCTGTTGCCCAGCTGCCAAAAAACGTGTTCAGTAAACCCTGGTCCCCACCTGGAAGAAAAAAATGCATTACAGTCACATACTTCAAGGACGGGTCAACAATTTTATAGGAATACATAACTGGACCTTTACAAACAGGTACTAATTCCCTTTTTTTTTTTTTTTTTGGCCACACCGCACAGCTTGTGGGATTTTAGTTCCCTGACCAGGGACTGAACTGGGCCCTCAGCAGTGAGAACACGGACTCCTAACCACTGGACTGCCAGAGAATTCCCACTAATTCTATTTTTAAAATAATAAATTCCGTGTTAGACCTCCTAAGGATATTTTAGCGGGTGGCCATTTCCCTAAGTTAATTCATTAACTGAACAAATATTGGTTGAGCAGCTACTATGTGCCAGACACTGCACCAGGCACCGGACAGTCAACCGTGAACAGCGACACGGTCATCATGTCTATGACTGTCTGGGTGGAGTGGGGGTGGGAGGCACTGCTATCAGCGAATCAAGAGTCAACAACACCATCGCACACGGGGATGAGGGCAGTGAAGGAGAGTACCGGCTGCTACGAGGCACGTGCAAGTGGCCTGAGGCCAGGTCTAATGGGCCGGGAAGGCTTCCACAAGGAAGCTGTATTTCGGCCGAGATCTGAGGGGGACACAGGAGGGCTTGACAAATGCAGGTGGAGAGAAGGAGGGCCGACGGTGCTCCAGGCAGAACACACAGCACCACAGACCTGAGGTGGGCGGGACATGCAGCTACAGAAGGAAGACCTGGAAGGCGGCCTGGGTGAGTGGACTGCAGAGCAGGGCGGGGGTCGCCTGGCACCAGGCGAGTCTCTGAGAGGCAGGCACCGACTAGACCACACTGGGCTCGGATTTTAGACTTCATCCCCAGTTAAAGATTTTAGACTTTATGTTAAGAGCAATGGGACAGAAAAAGAAGTCAAAAGCAAAAGAGGGCCAACTGGGATAACTCAGTTTGGGATAAACTCGAACTGTTTCTGGAGCCCCCAGCGTCGACGGAAGGCTGATGGACGGCAGGCCACGTCACCCCAGCACACCCTCCTGCTGCCGACCACGCCTCCGGGCAGGTGGAGGTCAGTCCTCACTGGGCCAGGGTCAGGGTCGGCCACTAGCACACTGCACAGTGCTTGCTCAGACCTGGGGGAAAGTGAGGGCCACGGCCATGCATTCAAAAGAATTAAAAACAATAAAAACCAAAACAGCTAAGTATCTGACCTAAATCATAACTATACAAGTAACCAAACAGTCACCAAGCCATCTGAAAACACATTCCCCCACGTAGCCCACGTGCTTCCCGTCTTAGGCTTATGAGATTTCAGGAAACACGCCCAGAACCAGTCTCCCGTGCAGCGGAACAACAGCTCGGGATTGTGGGTGTGTGTATGTGTGTGTACATGTGTGTAGGGGGGCGGGTGACAGGCAAGGAGAACCCTGCTCTTTCAAAGTATGAGGCTGGTATACTGCACAGTTACTTCCCTCCTTGGTCTGCTCTGCCCTGAGACCTAGTTTCCTTTCTAAACATACAGCAGGTCCAACTGGCTGTCATTATTATTTGGTTTTTCTTGGTTTTGAAAGAGACTTTAAAAATCTGGAGAGGTATTTAGTGTTTGGAACTAAGCAGTAAGATTGGGGCATTAGGTTTAAAGTCCAAATGTACCTTACCTATCCTCTGTGTAGCCCATCCTTTCCAAATACCCTTGATCAACTCTATGGATCAAAGGCATTCACTGAACAAATGTCCATGGGGTGACCCTTCTGTATGAGGAGGCTCTGACAGGTCCACATTCCTCAAGGGACAAATAGCTCAACAGAGGATCAAGGTTTCACCCTTGAAAATTCTGAAGGACAATAAGGATGGCATCAGGATATGCTTTACTTGTTCAGCTACACAGAAGATTTTAGCTACACAGACAAATTAACGTATTTTGAGACATAAAATTTTAAGCCAAAACACGATACCACTCATCAGAGGCTGACTTTGGATCCTATGAAGTCCCCCAGATGTGGGCACAGACACTGATGGCTGAGGTACAGAAGCCTAAAGCCTTACTATAACAATTTCCTTTTATACATAAACATCAAAATAATGGTTGCGGAACTCTTCATAGCAGCTTTATAGGTAATATTGCAAAATTGGAAAGAGCCGAAGCGTCCCTCCACAGGTTTATGAGTGTGACACCTCCGTACAACTGAATATTACTCAGCAATAAGGAGGCACAGATCATTGATAACGCAGCAACTTACACGGATCTCAAGAGAATTATGCTGAGTGAAAAACTCCCTTCCTGCAAGCTTACATACTGTTATGATTCCATTTGTACAACATCCTTCACATGACCATATTATGAAGACAGAGAACAGATCTGTGGTTGCCAGCAGTGAGGGAGGGGGAGAGGGAGAGTGGAGGCCACGGCTACAAAAGGGTAGCAAGAGGGACCCCTGTGACGGAACAGTTCTGTACCTTGATGGTGGTGGTGGTCACACCAATCTACACATGTGAAAAAATTGCATGGAAAACATATACACACACACAGACGCCAATGAATACATGTAAAATTGGTGAAGTCTGAATACGATTGGTGGGCTGTATCAATGTATCAATTCCTGTTGTGGAATTACAGTTATACAAGATGTTACCACTGGGGGAAACTGGGTGAAGGGTATATGGGGTCTCTCTATACTGTTTTTTACAACTGCATTGTAAATCTACAATTCTCTCAAAATAAAAAGTTTCTTTAAAAGTCTGAGGATTAATGTAGCTAAAATGCAAAATACCATCAAGAACTGTTAAGTCATTAGATTCTAGATTCCACAAGGACAGAGATTATGGCTCTTTTTGCTTACCACTGTAATTCTAGCAGGTAGCAGAATGCCTTACAAATGGGTAAGTTATTTGTAGAATGAATGCAAGAACCGTGAAGATGTTTGTTAACAGCAGAAAAGTTGAAAGCTTTAATATTCCACCACAGAGGAATGGTTAGTACACTGTGCTACTCATCACTCCCTGAATATTATTCAGCCATTAAAACCAGTGGTTTTAAAGACCACTGCATAATATACAGATATACAATGACATATAACATGATTGTAACTAAGAACATAAACATTCCTACTAGAAGAAAATAACAGTAATTGTGTGAGGGGACTGGTGATAACAGATGTTCCCTCCCCCTGACTTTTCCTTAATATTGTTATGTTATTTTTGTAATTCTAAAATATTAATAATACAATTGGGGCAAGAATGAGAATTGTGCCAAGATCGTTTCTTTCCAAACATTTGCACTTATTTATTTTCATTATGAAATATATTATCAAAAGAAAAATGTAAGTGTAGGTTACAAAGCATACTAATAATAACACTACACATCCCCAATATCCAACTAAAAAACTCAAACATTACCAATACTGGTTAAATTCTCTGTGCGGGCTCCCTAATCCCATCTCAGAGCCCCCCACCCCAGAAGTAACTACTTATCATGAATTTTGTTTGTAATTATCTTGATTTCCTTTATCGCATGTGTGTATCTCCAGACAATATATGTATTTCCACTTGTTTTTGAACTTTGTAAAACTGGGCATCACATATGTATTTTTTCTACTACTTGTTTTTTCCTGCCACATTTTAAAGACCTTTTGAAAATGAAGCATTTCCACTTAAAATGACCACCGACCTCATGTAATGCAGTGAAGAAATCTAATTCCATGACGTTGGAATAGTAGTTGTAAAGCAGAACTTCCCAGTCTGACAGGGTGAGCCTGAGAAACAGGAGTCAGAGCTGTTGATCCCTCAGAGCCCCTGGCTGGCCAGCCTGTTCCCTTTGACCCTCAGGTACCCTACAAATACCATCAGTCCCTCGGCCGTGTGCCACGGCGGGGCTGAGTGGCACTGGTAGGACAGGAAACAAGCAAGAAGTGGAAGAGGCAGGGCAGGAGACGTGTGCCTCAACGGTACACGTTCCACTGGCAAATCCTTCAACACTCAACAAGGACCCTGCCTCTATAGGGCACAGAACATACAGACCGTGAAACTTCCATGGCCACTGACCTCATCATTATGTGACTACGAAGGGTGACCATTTAGCCAAAAATTGTGGATTAAAAATAGAATTAAACACCACCTAGAAGTCTGTGGCTTCTTAAATAATGTTTAAATTCAGCATTCTAACCGTCTTTTTCCAAATACACAAGTCTACGTCTCAAAGTCAGGCAAAACAACGTTTTCGTTTCACTAAAAACAATCTGTGTGGTGTTATCAATATCCTCTCTTTAAAAGTCCCTAAATTAGAGCACAATTTAAAGCAGAATGCAAATCTAAGCACATCTGTGCTACAACACATACAAGGATGTCATGAAGGCTGCTGCGTTTTCACTACGAAAACCCCAGGACTTTTGCCCAGTACATTCTGGTCAGGCTTCCAGAGGCAGCTTTATTTATTGTGACAGGTTAAGACACTTTTAATCTCAATCAGCTCAGAAGCAACAAGCATGATAGCAGACATGCCAGCAGCTGTGATCCAGCAGGCAAGGGTGTGGCAACACAGGTGAGAGACAGATAGGAAATGGAACAAGAGACACACGGCACCTGTTTTGCAACCAAAAGCTAATATCAGATTCCGTATCTTCCTTCCCCCAGGCTGGCCAAGAGCCAGTAATAACCTTACAACCACCCGGTATTTTCCAGGTCTTTTGACCAGAGTCATGAACTTGGTAAACATGGACATATCACAGTATTTATCAGAAACGGTGGCCATTATTTTATGAGACAGAAATGGAGTTGAGTGCTGTTTTTTAAATCTGTGCACTTGTTCAATGCTTATGTAGTCTGTGTGCTTTTCCACAGTTTGTTGGCAGCCGGCTTGCCTACTGTGGATAGCAGGGAGGGTGGGTCAACTTTGGTTTAAACATGAACCCTAGTTTCTCAGCCCCAAGGAAATGGTCCCCTCAAAGCAAAGTTTAGGATCCAGGAGCAGGGGAATCACCTGGGAGCCTGCTAGAAATGCAGAATGGTAAGCCCCACCCCAGACCT